GCACGTCTGCCGAATGCATCCAGGCCGTCGATCTGGGGAAGCAGGGCGTGATCCCTCCCTATACCGCAACACTCACCAACGCCGTCCATGCCATCGCTCAGGCTGCTCACAATAAGATCCAGCTCCTCTGTGGAAACGGTAGGTATAGTACATTGAGCGGGCAAATATTATGCTTGTGATTCCTTAAGTAACATATTTTGCAATTCGACAAAAATGAACTCACTAAAATGATAGTTAAGAACTTAACATACATTTTTAGATGTTTGGTATATAGTCCTAAGAATTGATATAACCACTTCATATTTTCCAGGCCACCGTGCAAGAACAATTCTTTAAATAATTAAGTAATTTCAACATGTTTAAGTTTAATTTTGTTTGATGAAGTTGATCGGAATATTCGTTCGTACTTTCATTAGTTATCTTTCTTCCCGTTTCGATAATAATAATTTGTTAGTAATTAAGTAAGAAATTTATGATAACAATTCTTTAAAAAATATTATTGCTGCCGAATATGCTTTCAAAGATGAGGATTGTACTTGTATTTACCTTCTCGTCTCCTTCAAATTCATTCTGTAATTCATAAGCAAATACAATGGCTGCTCAGGCTCATTGCCACAAAAGTTTTCGATACATGACTGTCCTCCAACCAATCATATATCTTGTTTTCACCCTTTCCAGGTGAATTTGTGGGTCACGTCTATAAAAGGTCCAACTATCACCAGCGACCCAACGTCTCTGTTCCTCTATGTCCGGAGTTCTTCGAAGCATCATGGCACGATCTCCTATACGCCGTCAAGGACGTGTACGTCTTCGAAGGGGCCGGTCGACGTCCATTCTGGTTTGAGAACCGTCAAGGACCAGCTGAGTATTCCATCATCAACTTCCAGGGCGAGGGTTCGACTGGAAGCTTCGTGCCGGTAAGAATAAAAGTCTTGAAAACCCTTGTATTTGACCAAGATTACATTCTCTTTATCTTCAGGTATGTCGCCAAACCATTTTGAACACGGTTGTCAGACGAAGTTTGTCTACAAAGCAAAAATGTATCCCAAAGCTTATCACCATCAAGAGGTCTTCGGATTATTAAGATTGATTGATGGGATGAAAATCGGTGTTCGGATTTCCTAAGTTGCTGAAAGAAATTGCAAAAAATGTCCTAAAATAACAAGAAAAAAAATAACCACCACCACTAAATAATGAATAATAACATTAAGCATATATTATAACAAAATACAAAATAAAGAAAAGAAAAATCGTCATCCTTTTTTTGTGTGATTACCTGCTGACCTTTTGACCTGTTTAAAACAAAGAGAAATATTCTAGCTGAGAATGTACCAATTCAATTTGGACATCTCAACACTACAACTACAGCTCATAGTGACATATTGTGATATGAGCTATACAAGTACGGTATATTATTATTATTATTATTACAACTGTTCGAAGCGATGGGAAGTATTGTCGCGCAAGACTGATAAATTTGATTTTTAGTAGCCGATGTCAAATATAATTTTCAAAGTACCTTGCGATTTGTAGCCGTGATTATGTAGTGAATAATACAATAAGGTCTGATGATTTATTCATCTCCACAGATTGGTGAGTGGATAAGTGGAGAACTGACCATGGAAGACAGTATGACCTATCTCTACAATGAAGCTGCTAATCAGCCCATCGATGCTCCGTCTGAATGCCCTTCTGTCCTCTCCGAATGCCCAACAGCCGGACCGGAAACCCAGCCTTCTGGCTGGACATGGAGTACCAACATGGAGTCCTGGAGTATCATTGTGTTGATCGTAACTGCTATCGTCGGATTCCTCTGCGTGGCTACCATCTTTGTCATCATCGGACGACGCGACTCCGCCATCCTCAAGAGTTCCAACCCGTTCCTGATGACCATGCTGGCCGTCGGAATCATCCTGATGTACCTCAACAACATCTGGTACATGGTGTCCCCTGTTGAGTCAGCGTGTGGCGTCCAACGCTGGATGACCAGCTTCTCCTACTCGGTTGTCTACGCTGTCCTGGTAACCAAGACTCTCTGCGCCAGTTTCATGGCTCGAAGCGACGTTGCCACCAAGTCCATCCTCAACAGTTTCCCGATGCACATCGTGCTGTTCTGCGTCCTGCTTGGCGCTGAGGTCATCCTGGTGACTGAGTGGCTGATCCTTGACGCACCGAGTGTTGATGCGGCCTATGAAGTTACCCAAGCCGGATGCATGGCGTTCATCGGCCAGGCTTGTAACCATGACAACGTCAGCATCATCGTCTCCATGATCTACGTCTACATCCTCGTCCTGACGACCTTGGTCATGTCGTTCTTCTCGTCCCACCGTCTCCGAGGAACGGCTAAGAAAGAGAATAAGTTCCATCTCCTGACCAGTCTCCTGAGCATCTGTTTCCTTGTGTCCTGGGCCTGTTGCTACACGCTCCTCCCTCAGAAGAACTACCAGACACCAGCCATCCTCATCGGGATCACTGTGGATGCTACCTCCATCTTCCTCTGCAACATCGTACCCAAGATGCTGGCCTTCTTCAACGGCGATGAAGACGATATGTCCGAGGTATCCGATGTCACTGAGACTTACAAGGAGAAATCGGGCTTTGAGAACAAAGGTATATATTCCCGTCTTTTTCTTTGGTTTTATATGGCATGATCGAGTTGTAACTATGGGAATAAAAGAAAGCTTTTGATGTAAAGACGTGAGGAAAGAGGAGGGAAAGAAGGAGAAGTTAAACAAAATATTATCTTTAAAGGGAAATATATGAAAGACCTTAAAGCGATAGAGGACAGAGGATGTGACAAGAGTGGAAACACGGAGACTAGACAAAATATAATGTTTAAACTCATTTATGAATAGATGAAAATCATATATAAGTTATCAAGAAATAACTCTGAACCATTGTGAATAATCTGGCTGAGACGAGTTTGTATATAAGTACATGTTATTCTATTTACATAAAATGAAAGTAATCGGGTTTAATAATTGATTTAAGTGCATACATGTTGTTCTATAGTTGATAATCATTATACTTTTCTTTACAGGAATGAATGAAACCGACGACCAGACCCCACTGTAGTCACGTGAGTCTCTCTCTCTCTCTCTGGCTGTCTCTCTCTCTTTCTCTCTATCAACCCCTCTCTATATCTATACCTTCCCCTCTCTATTTATCCTCCTTTCCCCCATCACCTCTTTCATTCTACATTCCCTCTTCTTTCTTCCCGGGTCTTTCATCTTTTGTATTCGACACAAGAGTTGAGGCAGAAGATCTAGAAATGGAGCCAAGTTTGTGTTGAATAACAGTACCGCAGACAAGATACTTACCCAAGAATAACTTCAACAGTCTTATAGTAGATTTGATTGGCAAAATACCAAACAAGTTGGAGCTGGCATGTGTAGCCTATATCTTAAAATACGCGTTGTGAACAATTCACAGTATGCGCGTGCCATAATGCAAAATGGTGGTCGTTTCTGTTAAATGAAGTAGTAATTCAATAATCAAGTTATTGTTCTTTAAAAAGGACCTTTGATGTGCTGGCCGAGACAATTCAAGATGTATTTTTGTTTGTTTGTACATGATCGTGTTTTATATATATGCAAATATTTAATGGAATTAAACTACATGTATGCAAATTTCGTAATAAATAAAATCATGACTGCTAACATTCTTAATTATAATATGCATATTCGAACAGTTAATCCTGTTAAGTTAGTGATGTAGCTTGATGACTTTTAACTAAGGAAGAGCTATCAATTTAAAAATCGATGGGAATATTCTGTATGCATTAATTAGAATTAATTTGTCAGATGTCTTTGTTTAAAAAGAATTCACCTGTTCATCATAGCACATGAATATTGTGGAAAGCCAATTTCACTTTGACCTAAAGAATATCGAAACTTGCTTCACTGTTTTTGTCTTTAATTTCAAGGAAGTGATTTGAAATGCTGTAAAAAAAAAAATATAATGAACTATACAGGGATCTCTGTTTATATTCCATTTTATTCTTAAAACATCGCATTCTTTATCCTGTTGTGAATGTTGTATCAAATATGAATATAGGACCTGTGGACATAATGACAGGAAGAAGAAACATATCATGTTCCTACATGTATACCATAGTGATCATGTTTATCTACAATGTTTTTATCAGTTTATAAAAGGACAACAATTAGTACACATTTAATTATACACTTTCCTTTCTTTAATAGTACTTCATATTATAACTCTTTGTACTCATAGCATGAATGTAGTTCATTCGATGTGATAAATGATTTATGATCTATTTTAACCGATTGCTAATACAGCAAGTGACGGTATACTAATGTAGTTAAGAGTGATAAAGTCTTTCAGATTCAATTTACACGCTTATATGTTTTGATCGTATTTTCATTTTATCCGCAACATATCAATGATTGCTTTAATATTGTACAATATTCTTTTACAATGTAATAAAGATGGTGGAAGGTTACGCTTTACTAAATTCTATTTCGGATTTGAGTGTAATTATGTTATTACATTCTATATACTTCTACTACTTTGCCAGGCTGTGAGATGGATACATGTATTCATGTCAAACTGACGACAGCTGGCGAATTGGAAGAAAATGACAGTAGGTGTAAGAGTAAAATTTAGGTTCTTGGACAAATATCAAGAATGAGACAGAAAAAGAGGGAGAGAGGAAGAAAGAAGAGATGAGAAAAAAAAAGCAGAGACACAGAAAGAAAGTCAAAGAAGGATGAGAGAAACAGAGGTATAGAAGAGAGGAGAGGAGAGTTGGTGAGAAATAGAGAGAGAGAGGAAGAGATAGAGAGAGATAAATAGAGAGAAAGAGGAGATAGAGAGAGAGAGGAAGAGACAAAGAGAGAGCGAGAGAGAGAGAGAGAGAGAGAGAGAGAGGGAGATGGAGAAATAGACAGAATGACAGATAGATATATGGCATTATTTAAAAATAAGAATATACAAAATTATATTATTTAAAAGATACTAAGCAATACAAAAAATGATAATTTTCCATTGTTTTTGTATAAAACACATTTATTAAATTTGTTCATAAACACTAAGAACTTAGTGATATACATGTGTTACATAGATAATCCCTGCTTTTAATGAAAAAATGGAGTAAATTTCATACAGTCATTTGAGAGAAAGGTGACTGCTGCATAATGTTATACAAAATTATGTTAAATCATAAGCTTGTACATTGTAAGTGAAAAGAAGCATAATGTCTTCGATGCAAAATGCAAAAAAAAAACATCAAAAGCTTTTATCATGCAGTCAAGCTTAAGTTTTCAAATATCAACATCCCTTTTTATATACTTTAGCACATAATCAAATAAAGTTGAAATTACAAAGGATAAAGAGAATAATACAATTATACAACACTGTATATGTAAAGGAATACAAAATATATGAACACATAGTTTAGACTTTTTGTACAATAAAGATATAAGCAGTAAAAGTATTAGTAAATACAATGAAACTTAACATTAAAAAACACTTTAAAAAACCTTCAGATTAAATAATACAACAAGCAGCTTAGTTTGATGAATCTAGAATAAAACTCTATTGTATGCACATATTTTTTTCTGAAATAAATTTCTTCATATTCTTCATAATTACATGATTATATGTGTATGTAAAGTCCTCTAACACATTTTCCAAAAAAAATGCACAAAAGTTGTACATCTTTAAATTATTTTACCATACATTGTATAAAATGTTTATAAAAATATCACAGCATTGCTTTTTAAATCTTATTGACAGAATACCTGCATGCTGCCTATAATCCTCTCAAAATTGCAAAGGTGCAAAGGTGTACAGTTGTAAAAGACATAAAAAAGTGAATAAATAGCTCTTTTATTGAAATACCCTACCAGTTTAAAAAACAGTCATGTCATGAGACCCATTCTTGGTTGTGAATATACTCATTTCATCGAGAATATGAAACTTGTATGAACAGCACAAAGTTATGGGTCACTCTTGGAGTAATGCTAGGAGCAACTAAACTTTTAGTTTAACATTTCATTCTTGTAAACCTTTAATACCAAGTAAATTATGAAAACAGTGACATTTTATCTGTATACAGGAATGTAATATTGTCATGTATTTTAAAGTAAACTCTCAGTTTATTTCCCAAAGACAACATAGAATCCTACTCACAGTACCTACATGTAGAGAATGGCACAGACATTTTCATTTGACCAATACCTATGCACTTGAATACTATGACAACAATGATGCATGCAGTTTTTATTCCAACATTATTATTAAATTTGTTATTTTCAAACTGGGCAAGTAGAAGATGCTTGGAATATATCAGACCTAAACAAAAAATACTTGTTAAAAATCTGGTAACTATCCAGGAAGATATCTACTTTAAGTCTGTAACACGATATTCTTTGATCAATAAGAATACAGTCTTTCAAACCGTAAACATACATCATGTAATATGATAAAAATGAACAATGCTCAGTATTTCAGGAAAAGCTTAGAATTACAAGTGGCTTGTAATTCAATGCAGCATTGACCATGGTTGGCCTTCATTCACATTAAAAACATAAAACCACAACTCTACATGAGCATGTAACTATGGTATCATTTCCAAGGAGATAATACACATCTTTATGCGACATGACTTTAAAATTGCCCTCAAGCAAAAATAATAAATCAATCCTACCAAAATTGATGGTCCACATGAATTCAGATAAAACTTGCTCTAGATCTAAATTTTTGTTTTAAAAGAATTAACCCTCAGCCTTTGCTAAACCTGATTTTGGACAAAACATTTAACCCAGCTTCAGGTTTAAATTTTGGACAGAATATGATCCCAAGAGTTTAAATAAGTTTATTGAATAGAGAAAAAAAGACAATACCATGATAATGCCCTGAGATATCTCGACCGTAGTATACGATGGGTTTAGATGAGGCTTACGTGTAAACATTGCATTCAGATGGCTGTTGGAATTTCATTTCTTGTAGGTACAGTATACAGATGTCACAGAAGAGCCAATAGTATCTTTAGCACAGTCACACATGTGAACAAGGCTTCAAGTCTTGCCAATCATAGAGGGTAAGAAGACCAGGTGCTGAAAATTATAAAAATAATAATAACATAACAAACATCAATTCTTATGATTTCGCAAGGAATATACATTTGATGCATGATTCATAGTGTAAAATTTATACATGAACAAATTGCAGGGAAAATGGTTTGGAATTTCAAAAAAAGTTTCAGGAAAATCAGTCCAAAAGCCTGAGAACTGGCACTGTTGTATATTGCATATAAATTAATAATACATTACACTTACATATGTAACAAGATTTACTTATTAGCAAGAAAACATGATGGCAGTGATTTGATACACTTGAGAATTTGGCGCCATGCCGATATTTGTGTTTTGAAAAAATTAAAATGATGCTGGAAATTATAGTATCCATTCCACAAAAAGTTACTAATTTCTTAATTGATGTTGAGTGGCTTTATATATCATCCTTTTGAGCATGTATGTGAAATAAATTTTATTCACTTTTTTCAAAATATATCAGAATATAAATGTAAGAATCAATTTAGATGTACTGTAGCCCTCATATAAAACTTAAATATAATCAAAGTAAGAAGTGAAGAAACTGACTTAAAGGGATCGTTTAACAATGTTAAATCTGAGATACACGGCCTAACGTGTTATCAGTGTCTGTGATATGGTGTAATATTGAAGCCATAAAAAAATTGCGCTTCAAAATGATCAAGAAGTGCCTCAAAAAAGTAAAAACCTTTGAGTGACCGGTTTTACCATACTCGTTTTCCCCAATAGACTGTAGTGTTATGAAAACCGTCAGGCGAACGGTTTTCAAAATATGTAATTCCAATCATAAATATCTTGATAATCAGACGGGCGATCGGCTTGTAAAAGTCATGGGGTTCCTGACTTACCTAAAGGTTTATAATTATCATTGCATCATGAGCAAAATCCAGAATTTTTTTTCAGAATTTGAGACAAAGTTACCGGATCCCTTTAAGAAAAAGTGAAGAAAAAAATTTAACAAAAGGAAATTAAGGGAAGAAAATTAAAGAAGGGAAGAAAGGGTGTTTCACTTACTTTTGGACATAATCCTCATCATCTTCATGTTCTAAGATGAGATCTTTGATTTGAGGTGAAGGATTCTGATCATGGCTCTCTGCTCTCTCCCACCTCTCTAAACGAGTGATTCCTACAAATCAAGAGGAAATCATAGCAACAGTGAACAATATTATGTTGAATAAAGCACTATGCACACTAGGTGTGTTTATATACACTATATGATCCACTAGGTTTCTATTTTTTTTTCAAGATATGGGAATATCTTTAGATATGAAAATCAAATATTTAAACAATTAATGGAGATTCCCAGATGAGAATATTATAAGTAAAATAAAAGTTGAAGGGTATAATACAATAAAAATCAAATTGCCTGGTTCGATAGTCCTTCCAGATGGTGGAAATATCAAATCTGCTCAGAACCATATCAAATGTTCACACAAATAATGGAGGTTCCCACATGAGAATATTATAATTAAAATAAAATTTGAAGGGTATATATACTACAGCTATACAGTTCAAATTACATTGATCTACCTTGCCCATTATATCTACATATTTCAAAATTTTGTACTTATTTTCCGTACATTATATTTGTTTTGAAATCTTTGATATTTTTATTTTTTCTTCTTGTGTGAAATCTATTCTTATAATAATATATGCCTGTATACAAAAAATTAAAAAAAGAATATAAACTGTTTTTCTATGTAAAATGTGGAATAAATAAAACTTCAAAACTTCAAACTTCAAATTGCCTGGTAATGTGAAGGAAATAACAATCTGCTCAGAACTGTACGGTCACTGTATTTCAATTTTGTATTTCCTCTATTTTACTGGAAGGATTTAATATCAGTATTAGTAAAGTAAATGCTCTTTTTCCTTGTAACAGAAGATATATGTTATATCTCCTTATGGGTCAGTAAACATTTTATAAATATCCTCTTTAATAATACATCATAACGCAGGGTGATAAACCTACCGGTGCAAGGCCCATATCTCCAATTCAGATCAAATTCTCTAAGTGTTTGGAGATGCTTCTTCCTAATCAAATCCTCTGCACTCTCAACTGCAAAAAAATGAATAATAATATACACAGATTAGAGGGCTTACTTTAAACCATGAGGTCATTGCATCTAGTCGGAAGTTTGCTTTACACGACCTTTTGTAAAAAGGAAGCAGAAGATCATGTGAAGATGCACGTTAAGGACGCAATCTTTGTGTGTGCCCAGGTCTGCACGAGTGAGAACTCGGCAATCATTCATAGTGTAGTAGTTTTTTATATCAAGCTACGCTAGCAGACGACGACAGCCGTATCCAGTAGCAGCCTACGCTAGCAGACGACGTCTGCAGTCTGCAATAGCCACCCTCACCACTAGAGGGCGCTATTCCTATTGGAAGCTTCCGTGGATGAGAGTCAACCTGAACTCTCTCTCTCATGCAACCGACACCTCAACCGAACAGACGTACCTTTACTGGAAGTTAAGGATGTCAAGCCTGATTGCCTGATACATTTCCAGTGAGTATTTCATGTCTGGTTATGGTGTCTATAAAGTAGCTCCCAAGTCTACTTCATTGGCGTCACGGACTTTTAGGACCTCGAAATGCACCGTTTTGGGGTAACTTGTGTTGTTTTGTCAATTTATTTTGTCAAAGCGGGGCACGGACCTAAATTTGCCGGGTTGTGCTTGGGGCTGTGCGGGGTGATGCTCGCTGGGTTCCTAGTGGAAACGGGGTTTCCGGGTGGGAGTGGTGGGCGTTGCCCGCTAGTAGTTCCGGCTGACCATTCTTTTTTCTGTGGGTAAATTTTCTGTGCCGTTACGGGGGTTGAGTGCCGTGAAGGGCTGGCGGGTTCGGTGGGGGCTGGGTAGGCCCACTGGCCGGATGGCTGCGGTGAAATATGGTACTTTATCTCCCGTGAGTGGATGTTATGTTGTTATTTGTGGCTAGTGTTAATGCTAGTGGTGTGGGTGTCCTGTTTTATGTCTTTTTAGAGTGTTCACTGTGATGGGTGTGAATGACCGTTCTGGGATGGTATTTCCAGGATGGTATATCTATCTGGTGGCTTGATTAAACAGGATGCGATGGGCAGCCATGTTGAATGTTTATGAAAGCATTGTTATTGAATGGCGTGATTTAATGTGGTCTGTAGAACGGTGGATGGTGGAATGTGGGTGACATTCCGGGGATGACCGGGGGGGGGAATTATATCCCCAGCCTGGGTTACGTTTTCTCGTTTCATATCCCTCCGAGCGTGGGTCTTACGTAGAACGGGTTTCAAAATTCGCGCACGTCTGCTGGCGTGGCTTGGGGGGATGGACCAATGGGGGCGTTGGATGCGCTGTCCGTCTAATTTCTCCGGAGGGGGGAAAGGGAATTTCCCATTCGCTCACGTGCTGTGGCGTATACGTTACGTACGAGATCGAGAGGCAGGATTTTCTCGGAATCAGCGGAGGAAATTTGAGTGAGCAGATTCCATCTCTTTCACTTTGTTTCGTTATCGAGGCAACTTGAAAGATTTTTGCTCCGGCAAGTTTTCGAAATTAGCTGTTTCAAAGTTACTTTCGAGTGGTTCCCAAGTTCTTTCGGACGGATTGGTGCATCAGGCGTAAGGTAAGAAACCTTTTGCTTTGTTTCAAATCATTTAGACCGATTTTGTCGGGCTTTTTCCTTCATTTATTTTTTGGTGTTTAGTTGGGTTGACTGGTTACGTGGGTGAGTGCCCGTGAGCACTCACGTGTAGTCCACCTATTGTGGGTAGGGGGCTGCGCGCTGTGTGACCAATTAGTTTCAACGAATTGAATTAAAGAGGGAATAAAAAGTGATTATTGGTTGAACATAAGCTGTTTAATTATATTTAGTGGATATCGTGGGGGTTCTGCTCCCAGGAGTTCTGCTCTTGTGAAGGGGGTTGTTTCTCCTTTGCAGGCTTGGTTAATTTAATTTTATTTAGTGGATATCGTGGGGGTTATGCTCTCGGGAGTTCTGCTCTTGTGAAAGGGATTGTAGTCTCCTTTGCAGGCTTGATTACTTTAGTTCTTTTATGAAATAGTTATTAAACAATCCTTAGGTTAGTTTAGGGCAAGTACTTTAAATTTGTTGGTTTATTTGTTTGGTTGGTGGAAGGAGTTGTATTTATAATTCCTTTTGCTAATTAAATAGATGGACAGCTAGGTTGCTATATTTGTATTTCTGAACTGGCTGTGGTTGGAATTTGTATTAATCGTGGTGGTGTTCTGGTTAATCTATAACTGGGATTGCTTTTGATTGTCTGTTTATCTTGGTTGACTGTTCGGTTTTTAACTCTGTTGTAGGGGTGTTTTCCGGGAAACAGGAGATATCAAATAAATAGATAGCACTTTTGTGACCGTGGGTGGGGACTTGGCTCTGGGAGTTTTATCCCAGGGTAGTCGTGAGTCTTGGCGGTGCGGAGGTGGGGCAGTTGTAGTGCTGGAGTATTGGGACATCGATTGCGTTATACAAATACAATTACAGTATTTGTTATTCCTTATATTTAGGGACATTTTCGGAATTTACGAATAATTGTAGACTTAGTGATTAGTACTGGTAGGGGTTTAATAGTCAGTGCCGGGGTGGGACTATACCTACCCCGTCTCTGGTGTGCTGGTGAGCTCCTTTTATTTATCGAACCTCTCAAGCGGGGAGTGTTAGCTCATTTTTGAGTTAAGTAGGCTCTTTGTTGATATTTTATATCGGTTCGGTGAATTTATTTAGGGGTTTTTGTTTTTGGGTGCAATTGTGCTAATATATCCTAGTATATTCTACCCAATTATTTATCTGTGGTTGTATGGGTATTAATAATTGTTGGGTAGTTTAATTAATATTCTGGGATATATTTTGTTGTTGCACAAATATCCTAGTGTGTTCTATCCAATTATTTACCTGTGGTTGTATGGGTTTTAATGATTATTGGGTAGTTTAATTAATATTCTGGGATATAAATCCTAGTATATTGTTCTGTTCAATTATTTTCCTGCAGTAGTAGGTGTTTATAATTGTTGAAGAGATCAATCCGTATCCTGGGATTTATTTTATTGTAGAGTTGGTATTATTGTGGGAGTGAACCTCGCATTGTGGGAGTATGGCGAGGGTTCCGATCAATAGATGTACATTCGCGGAGTTACTGGCAATGCCCGGGTTAAGCCCTGTTCGAGCAGGGTGTATCTTAGAACTCCGGGAGAAACACGGGGGAATTACTCCTGAGATTATGGGGTCCTCTCCTTTATTTGAGGATCTGGAGAATCTGCAGGATCGATTTGATTTTCGGCCGCGTATGGGTTCTGGGGGAGAGTTCCCTGGAATGACGTTTAGAACGATTTCCCGGACAGGGGATTTCTGTAGTAGCACGCCCCGTGAGGGAGGTTTCGGAGACCAGAGTCCCCATGTTTATCCCCATGATAGTTATCCACCCCCACCGGGGGGGTCGCGCAGGCATTCTGCTGTATATACGGGGGGATATGAGGGTGGTGAGGATACTACTCTTTCACCCCGGACTCTTCCACATTTGCCCCGGGATAAGAATGATGCCTTCTCCCGACCATCTGTGTCTAGGTGGGAGGGAGATTGGGGAGGTAATCGGGGTAGGACCTCGTATCAGGCACTCCCCAAATCAATTGCGTTTGACGGGCGGGGGAATTGGCGCGCGTTTTTCCGCAAATTCAGCGCGTTTGCGGAGGCTCGCGAGTGGGATCACTCCCAGCGGCTTAATCATTTATGCTGGAGTTTGGATGGCCAGGCGAGTGAGTTTTTTGATGGGATTCAGGAGCGGGACCCTGACATGGGTTATTTCGCAGTAGTACGCCAGCTGGAGGGCAGGTTCGGATACCGAGAGCCTCCAGAAGCCACCCTGCTAGAATTTAACACTGCTAAGCAGGGGCCCACAGAATCCTTGCCTGAATGGGCAGACAAGCTGCACCAGCTTGCATCCCGGGCATTTCCCGGGGTCCCCGATGCATACGTACAGCGGCAGCTGGTGTTGCGTTTGTGCCAGGGCTGCGTCGACCGCGATGCTGGGTGTCATGCCCTTAATCAGCGCCTTTCTAATGTTGGGGAAGCAGTGGAGGCTATCCGCTGGTTTCAGCACGCACATAAGGCCATGTACGGCCGCACCCGGCAGGCTAAAGTGTTGGCGACCGAAGCAAGCGAGGCCAGAGAGCCTGAGGTGCGAAAAGTGGATATTGCCCCGCGATCGACGCAGGGTACTCCGGATACCCGCCCCCCTTCACGACTCGAGACCCGGATGTCTGAGTTGGAGGAGCGGACGGATAACCGAATATCCGGGTTAGCGAAAAGTTTTGATACTCGGATGTCCGGTTTGGCGAAGAGTTTAGATAACCAGATATCTAGTTTGACTTCCAGTTTGGATATCCGAATATCCGGTCTGGAAAAGAATCTGGATAAATTTATTGAGGCTCTGCATGAAGCGCGGGTGCCTTCGCCGACCCAATCACCCAGGGGTTGTTATGCCTGTGGTGAAATGGGCCATTTCCGGAGGGATTGCCCTCGGGCTAGAACCAATCCATTAACCCAGCGAGTTGCTCCCCCCGAAGGGGAACGAAAAGTTGCATTCATGGAATTAGACGAGGGAAACTTTCCCGGGTCGGAGGAGAGGGCCGCTCTCCAACCCGAGAAATATGTGGCCAAGAATTAGACGCGCTCGAATCAGATATGATTGATCCTTATCCTGATCTTACCTCTATGGTTGCTGCTTTTTCTCGTTATTTAGAGGGTGTTACCTTGGGGGATTGTTCCCCTGGGGGAGCGGAGCTAAGTGATGACCCCCTACCGGAGGAGGTAACGATCTATAGATTGCGGTCCAGCTCTCTGTTGAGTGTGGCACTAGTAGTTGGGGGTTACTCTGTTAACGCTATAGTAGATACTGCTGCCGAGGTAACTATTATTTCAGATCGGATATTCGGGAGGTTGAGTCCACCCCCTGAAAAGATGCGGGAGGTTTTAGTTCATGCGGCTGGTCGGGATATGCGAATGAAGGGCATAGTAGTAGGGCCTGTGTCCATCAGGTTAGGGACTAGGGAATTCTCTGAGGAT